GAGCATGGAAAATATTTGGCTATATTTGCACCCTCTTCACCGACTATAGGTCAACAAATATTACTAATATTCAACAAATATTACTATTCTAAATCCTTTTCCAGATTCCCTTCACCGTGAGTTGCATTGTGGTGTTCGGCTTTCAATTGTGGCCTATAGATCGATTCGAAAAAAACACAAAAAATAAGTTCTAGGTCCACTTCATCTCAATACTATTATCTGATCATCACCGAAAATTATGGGCATTGTCCTTGACCATACCTAGAGCCTCATGGAAAATTTCAAAGCAATCTGCGCTATATTTCCGACCTCTTGTAAGGTAATAGGTTACTGAATAATATCCGAATACGTAAGCACCTGTAAATATTTATGAGTAATTCCCACATCCGAGTACATACGACAATGTAATCGGTATCAATTTAAAGGCCAACCACTCCTCTTGGATTTACTCTCAACTTATCGGATCTGGTTATTCTTTGGCCCGATCGCCTTCTCCATGTAAATATTCGTGATATTTGGACCATAATTGCGGGCTCTGGACCGGTACATTAGGCAAAAATAAAGTTTTTGGTCCATTTCATCTTTACCAAACAATAGGGGTCTTTATTGATCAGAACCCATCCTACATGCAAAATTTCGTGAATATTGGCCCATAACTGTGGCCTGTATCGTGATTACATATAATAATGGACAGACGGACGGACACACATGTCTAGATCGACTCAGCTAGTCGAGATATGACGATTCGCGGCGTTACAAACTCTTGGGGCTGCACAAAGCTATAATACCCTGACAACATAGTTGTGTAGGGTATAAAAATCCATGCCTTTTTTCATTTTTTTTTAATTCGAGTACCTACCTCTCTCTCAGCTCTGCAATATTTTCCCGCAACACCGACGTCTCATTCAGCAATATATTTATTTTGGCATAGAGAACACTCCACAGACCGGCATTATTGTGCTCCGGAACTGGATCCTAATTTAATATATTTGTATTTCAAATTTTTTTTTTCAAATTTTATTGTTGTTATTTTTTTTATTTTCACACACTCACATCATTTACGCCAATTGTCAAATGGCTTTCGACTAAATTTATGGCTGTCCAAGCGATAACCAGCAGAAAAAGAATTTTCATTTTCTATTTCTGGTGTCGGACTTCTTTACCCGAATAAAGTTTGGTAGCTACTAATCAAGGTTGGAGGCGAATGATAGCTTTTTATATATTTAGCCAAATGGCCAAGTGATAAGCAGCAGGAGCGGGAAATTTGGGTGATAAGGGTAGAGGTGGTGAAAGGGGGATGGAAACGTTGTGGATAAATATATTTGGAATTATTACTTCAAGACCCTACTAGGTGGTCCTCGCCTTGATTTTATTAAGGGAAATATTTATTTATTTTTGTTTTGTTTTAGAAATTTTTTTGCAAAGCCGCTAACTTCGTTAGTGTTTGAAATACATTTTCAAATCTAAGAAAACATCTCGCAATATAAATTAAATGTGTTTAATTTTTGTTGGTTCGTACCAGACACATACAAAATATTATCAGGCATTGAAAATTTTGGTATAGGTTAAGATAGCTGAACATGATGTCAACAACACAACAAATCATGACGGTTCTAATTAGATCATTGCGAAAAATATTATTTGAAAAACTAAAAAAAAATTGGCAAGTATCGAGGGTCGTTGCGGAAATTAGTTTAAAAAATCACACACTTTATAGGTCCATAAAAAATTCATTTAAAAAAATCCACGCTACTTGGGTGACCTTATTAATAGATCTTGGCATAGATCGTTGTCTCAGTCTGTTAAGTTAGCTCTCTAACAAGAAAATGCAGGGACTTAAATTTGGTCTTCAATCCAGAAAAGTCAAACACGATATGCTTTGCCAAAAATAGTATCAAACGGGTTACCTTAAATATAGAGGGTATAGAGATACAGCAGGTGAAAAAGTTAAGATTCCTGGGAAGAATCATTACAAATTCCCTAACGGCAAGAGATCATCATGAGCACATAAGTGAAGAGCTAAAGGGTAGACCGAATTTACTTAAATGTTTGACGACGGTGAGAAAATGGCCATGAACACGTACAAGAGTTCTATAAGAGCGAATGTTGAGCATGACAGGACGACAACGGCCAATGCGCCGGCGTATATCAATAAAAATATCGAGCGCCTACAGAATAAGATGATCAGAAGATCGTTGGGAGTTACGACCACTTCACTGATTCATGTGAGGCATGTCCCCCAAATATCGAGCTATGGTCCTAACAGCCAACGAAATTATTAGAAATGTATACAGCAATGAGAGATTATATGAGATAGTAGCGGATAACCCACGAGTTAAATCCAGTTATAGTGCAATATTTTACGAGTTTGACGACATCTTCCAAAAGATCAGAATAAGTTCATATAAATATCAGGACAAATTGACGATCAGAACAAATCTTTTACCCTCTACGAAGCAGAATGCTCCTCTTGATGTAATACATGCCATATATAAATGTGAGATGGAATACTATAGATGTAATGGCTTCACCATTTTTGCCAGTGATGCTTCGGTTGGACGTGAGACCACAGGGTGTGGTGTATACAATGTGTCCAATAAGGACAAGTTTCTCTTTAAGTTGGACATTAAGTCCTCGTCCATGTTCGGCGAACTTTATGCTATTAAAAAGGCGCTTGAAACTGCGACGGAGGAGGTTTATGGCAATCTGATCATCTTTACAGACAGCCTTGCGGCCTGTAAGGCTCTAGGCTCTGACAATTTTCTGGTTGCTGAATGTCACAATTTGGTGAGGAGATCAAATGTGTACAGATGTCATGAGGTTTGGACTCCGAGTCATAAAGGCATACTATTTAATGAAGTTGTGGATTTTTTGGCAAAGCAAACGGTGGATGCAGGTGCACCAATTGTGACATATCTGACCCCGAAGGAGGCGATAAAACAGATAGAAAGGAGAGTACAGGACATGTGGAATGAAGAATTTCAGACAGTTTCCTTGACCAAAAGGCAGATTCTTTTTTCAATTCTCTGCCGATGTGTATAGCAAATTGTGGTATTGCAAAATCAATTTCAGCCCGGATGATACAAAATTAATTAACAGGCTCATGACAGGACTTTCGTATTGTAAAGTCGATCTACATCGTTTAGGTGTCAATGATTCTTGGCAATACGATTTATACGGTGTTCCTGAATACGTGGAGCACTGCATTTTTATATGCCCTAGATGTAATCAATTAAGAATCGCAACCTTTTTTCGCAACATAATAATCTTATGACAATCCTGAAATCCACTGAGGAAGAGCTATTCGAGATATTAATTCCCTTCATCAAAGAGGCGAAAATTCATCTGTGATCATCATCCTGGTACCTATCCCATCTCAAACTGTGATATTAGTTTAAGTTTTTAACTGCTTTTGGATCAATAACTAATTGATGACTTTTTGTCCCTCTTTTCTATTTAGTACCTATCTTCAGCACCCTTGAAGGCGCCTAGAGGTCTTGGAGAATCAACCTTGTGTGACCAAGAAGCAGTTTTAGTTCCGGAAATTCTTCGTCTGCGGTTTGCAGTTTTTGTCACTACCATGGCACAATGAATAGGTAGTCCATTTAGCGCAGCTGATGTCTTGATTAACTGTCAAAGTGGGTAATTTATACTTGTATTTGATGTGCAGTGTTGCCAACCATTTGAAATATTATATGTAAAAATGGAGACAAAAACAAAGGTTTTTGTTGTGATACATTACCTTATTATTGCATCATGGTCACTACATACACCTTATGCACTTGGACATTTCTCAACCGGGAGGTCGTAGGTCGGATAAAGTTTGACAACCCACAAATCGACGCCTATTTTTTGTTGAATCGCACCTTGGGTTCCTAAAAAATTATTTTCATGGCTTCTATAATTAAAATAAAATTTCCCAACTAAATAATTGTTTTAAAAATATATTTATCATTTATAATCTTATTTTTAAAATTTATATTGGTCATAAAAATCACGCGGATTACCTTTTTTTGTTTACAAATCCCAAATCAAATCTGTGCAAATAATTCCTTATCTCAATGCCCTGATTATACGTTGCGAAAAATTCTGGTAATTTTTGAAAATTTAAAAAAAAAACGATAATAGTTATAATTTATAATGGGGTTGAAAACTAATAAAAAATATTTTTATAAAAAATATATATTTTTAATATAAAAAATACATTTTTTATATAAAAAGTATTGAATTAAACAAATGTAATTGAATTAATAAAATGAAAAATTATTTTCCAATTAGTTTTTAATTAAATTAATTTTTGTTTTATTTTTTAAGTAGCTGGTACCCTTAAAGATTGATAAGAAACTAATCACAAGTCTGCAATTAATTTGTACCACTCACAAATTGGATCATAAATCCAAACAAAGCGATTATCAATTTTTGGACACTTGACAAATACGAACAACAACACCAACAATCAAACAAATCAATTTTTCGCCAACAAATGGGTTTTGGGGACGCACGACAAACAATATAAGTCCAAAATCGCCAACATCATCATCAGCAACATCATCGGTTAAAAAATAATTTTGTGATGTAGAGGTTAGAAATATTTGGATCATGTTTTTGTTGTTTGTTTTTTTCCAAGAAAGTTATTAGAAATTCTATAGAAATTTGGTATTTCGTATCAGGTGAGACACCGACCGAACAAGAAAACACCAAGGAATTATTTCACTTCTTTTTTTTATCAACCTCTCTACCTCTAGCACTGATGTCAGCCAAGCGCCGCCGAGTAATGATATCAGCCACCGACCGAGCAACCGAAAAAAATTGGTGATCATATTTAATAATTTTTGTTGTTCTTAAGTTTTCTGCCAATAATTTATTATCGTCGATATAAATATCATAGAATATTTGATATTATTTGTTAGTACCATTTTGATTTTGAAACGTGAAACATATCCCAAACAGGTGTCGGGAGAGACACGCAGCAAGAAAGAAAGGAAGTGAGAGAGCACGCCATGAAACTGCTGGGCATTTTGCTTGTTTTATGTGTGGCACAAAGGGCCTTTGGCGAAGATAATTCGGATTTGTCGGTGAGTTTGAAATGGAAAAAACAACGATTTAAAAAAAAAGTTTTCAGACACCAACAACAGGCGGGGATTTTCAAAATTAATATAAATATAATAGGCGTGGATTTTTTTAATTAAATTTTAGGGACCTACAATAGGCGTGGATTTTTTCAAATTATTTTTTAGGAAGCTATAATAGGCGTGGATATTTATACCCTACACAACTATGTGGTCAGGGTATTATAGCTTTGTGCAGCGCCAAGAGTTTGTAACGCCGCGAAATATTGGCCCACCTTTAAGTATATTGATCGTCATATCTCGACTAGCTAAGTCGATCTAGACATGTGTGTCCGCCCGTCTGTCCATTATAATTTGTAAACACGATACAGGCCACAGTTACGGACCAATCTTCACGAAATTTTGCATGTAGGATGGATTGTGGCCAATGAAGACCCCTATTGTTTTTGGTAAATATCGATTAATATTTCGGGGATGAAATGAACCAAAAACTTCTTTGTATGATTTTCTGGTCGCTCCAGAGGCCGCAATTATGGCCCAAACTTAGCGAATTTTTACATTGAGAAGGGGATCGGGCCAAAGAATAAGCATGCCTGTTTTGATAAAGATCGGTCAATATTTAGCGGGCCAAATGGACCCTGACTTTTGTGTAAAAAACGACAAAATTTGTATTCTATAGTGTATATATTTACTCCTGAAGGACATAGGCCCGAGAAGTTGATAGCGATAGTGTATCCAAGAGGAGTAGTTGATCTTTAAATTGATACGAAATATATTGTCGTATGTCCGCGGATGTGGGAGTTACACCTAAATATTTACAGGTGCTTACGTATTGAGATATTATATAGTAATCCATTACAACACTAGAGGGCGGAAATATAGCGCTGATCACTTTGAAATGTTCCATGAGGATCTAGGTATGGTCAATGACGACGCCTACAATTTTCGGTGATGACCAGATAATTATTTTGGGATGAAGTAGACCGAACACTTAATTGTTTGTGTTTTTTTTTCGAGTCGACTTATAGGCCACAATTATAAGCCGAACATCACAACTCACAGCGAAGGGAATATGGACAAGTAATTATGAGGACTGTACTGAATATTAGTAATATTCGGAAACTATGTCAGTGTAAGGAAGAGATGCTGTTGACTTCTAATCTGGCAAGAGGTGGCAACTATCACGAAATATTGCTCAGACTTGGAATGGAATCGGCCCGGTCCGACTATACTGATCCGCTCGCTGGTTTTCAATTATTTTTTACATCCCCAAAATAAGTGTGTATTTTCATACCCTTCAATACACTGTGGTACAGGGTATTATGTCTTTGTGCATATGTTTGTAACAGGCAAAAGGAAACGAGATTGACACATGGTTCCTTTTGAGAATATGCATAGAATCACTTTTTAAGCATATTTCTGAGTCGATTTACGCATTTCCGTCCGTCCGTCCATCCATGTTAAATTGTAAACAAAGTACAGGTCGCACTTATGATTGGAACTGAATGAAATTCGGCATAGGCCACTTATTTGGCCCAAGGACGAACCCTATCGAAATTGGGAAAAATCGGTTCAGATTTAGATATAGCTCCCATATAAAGTTTTATCCGATTTTATGTAAATGGGGCTCTGAAGTATATATCTTTCGATTTGCACGAAATTTGGCATAGTTTCGTGAAAATCGGTTAAGATTTAGTTATATCTCCAATATATAGTTTCGTCCGATTTAAGGTAAATAGGGCACCAAAGTTCCTATATATGTTTCGATTTGCGCGAAATTTGGCATATAGTACTAAAAAAGGTCTAGAAAGATGTTTGTTAAGTTTCGTGAAAATCGGTTCAGATTTAGATATATCACTCATATATATTTTCGTCCGATTTAAGATATATAGGGCACCAAAGTCCCTATATATCTTTCGATTTGCACGAAATTTTGCATAGTGTACTGAATTGAGTCTAAAATGAAGTGTGCCAAGTTTCGAGAAAATCGGTTCAGATTTAGATATAGCTCCCATATATATTTTCGTCCGATTTAGGGTAAATGGTGCCCCAAAGTCCCTATATATCTTTCGATTTGCACGAAATTTGGCACCGCGTACTGAATTAAGCATTGAATGATGCGTACCAAGTTTCGATTAAATCGGTTCAGATTTAGATATAGCTCCCATTTATAGATTCGTTCGATTTAATGTAAATGGTGCACCAAATTCCCAATATACCTTTCGATTTGCACGAAATTTGGCATAGGATACTGAATTGAGTCTAGAACGAAGTGTGCTAAGCTTCGTGACAATCGGTTCAGATTTAAATATAGTTCCCATATATATTTTCGTCAGTTTCGTGGAAATCGGTTCAAATTTAGATATAGCTCCCATATATAGTTTCGTCCGATTAAAGGTAAATGGTGCACCATAGGTCTTATATATCTTTCGATTTGCCCGAAATTTTGCTCAGCGTACTGAATTAAGCATAGAATTATGTTTGCTAAGTTTTACAAAAATCGGTTCAGATTTGAATAAAGCTCCCATATATATTTTCGTCCGATTTTGTGTAGATGGAGCATCAAAGACCCTATGTAACTTTCGATTTGCACGAAATTTAACATAGCGTACTGAATTAAGTCTAGAATGATGTGTGCAAAGTTTCCTGAAAATCGGTTCAGATTAATATATAGCTTCCATATATATTGTGTCATATAATCGGCCCAGTCCGACTTAACTACTTTCCTCACTGGTTTTAATCATTTTGTCAATTAATTTTTCTTAAATTAATTTTTTTTAAATTAATTTTAAAAAAAATTATTTTTTAATGAATTTATTTAAAATTAATTTTTATACCCTTCACCACTCTGTGGTACAGGCTATTATGTCTTTGTGCATATGTTTGTAACCGGCAAAAGGAAACGAGATAGACACATGGTTCCTTTTGAGAATATGCATAGAATCACTTTCTGAGTCGATTTATGCATGTCCGTCCGTCTGTCCGTCCGTCCGTCCGTCTGTAGATGTTAAATTGTAAACAAAGTACAGGTCGCATTTATGATCCGATTTGAATGAAATTTGGCACAGGTCACTTATTTGGCCCAAGGACGAACCCTATTGAAATTGGGAAAAATCGGTTCAGATTTAGATATAGCTCCCATATATAGTTTCGTCCGATTTAAGGTAAATGGGGCACCAACGTACCTATATATCTTTCGATTTGCACGAAATTTGACATAGAGTACTGAATTAGGCCCAGAATGATGTATGGCAAGTTTCGAGAAAATCGGTTCAGATTTAGATATAGCTCCCATATATAGTTTTGTTCGATTTTATGTAAATGGTACACCAAAGCCCCTATATATCATTCGATTTGCACGAAATTTGGCGTAGGGTTTTGATCAGTTCAGATTTAGGACATAGCTCCCATATATAGTTTTGTTCAATTTTATGTAAATGGTGCACCAAAGTCCCTATATATCTTTCGATTTGCACGAAGTTTGGCATAACGTACTGAATTTAGTCTAGAATGAATGTCTGCCAAGTTTCGAGAAAACCGGTCCAGATTTCTATATAGCTCCCATATATAGTTTCGTCCGATTTCATGTAAATGGTTCACCAAAGTCTCTATATATCTTTCGATTTGCACGAAGTTTGGCATAACGTACTGAATTGAGCCTAGAATGATGTTTGCCAAGTTTCATGAAAATCGACCCAGATTTAGATATAGCTCCCATATATAGTTTCGTCCGATTTCATGTAAATGGTGCACCAAAGTCCCTATATATGTTTCTATTTGCAAGAAATTTGACTAAGCGTACTGAATTGAGTCCAGAATGAAGTGTGCTTAGTTTCGAGAAAATCGGTTATATATTTATATATAGCGCCCATATATATTTTCGTCCGATTTAAGGTAAATGGGGCACCAAAGTCCCAAAGCACGAAATTTTGCATAGTATCCTGAATTGTGTCTAGAATGATGTGTGTCAAATTTCGAGAAGATCAGTTCAGATTTAGGACATAGCTCCCATATATAGTTTCGTCCGATTTCATGTAAATGGTTCACCAAAGTCTCTATATATCTTTCGATTTGCACGAAGTTTGGCATAACGTACTGAAAATCGGTCCAGATTTAGATATAGTTCCATTTTATTATAGATTGATTATAAGTAATTGACGCAGCAAGGATCCAATAAGCTGATAGGAACACAACGTTCTGAAATTAGTATAACCTAACCTGTGATAAGTTTGTTTGAAATCGCTTAATATTTGAATAGAGCTTCCATACATATTTTCGCCCGATTTCAAGTAAAATGGGCATCAAACTCCTCAGGTTAGTCAGATTGACATCAAAGTTTGCACAACTTAAAAAATTGAACATAGAATTACGTAGTTGCGTTTTCTAGAAGTACAGACATAGCCCAACGGATGATCTATTTATATTTGTTTGAAGTCGATTTACATACTTTATGGATAGATCTAGGTAGATTCACATTTAGATAAATATCACATATTTTATTTCATCAATTTTTAATAGTCTTGTTTAATATACCCATAGTGGTGAAGGGTATCATATAGTCGGCCCCGTCCGACTTTACTACTTTCCTTACTGGTTTTTATTTGTTTTAATTATTTATTTCAGGATCCCGTTGCCTTCGACAATGATGAGGTCCTGTGGCATGTCCTTTACACCAAATTGAATTTGATTATGAATGTCACGGATACTATGAGTGATACCGTAATGGAATTGCAAAATAAGTATGTACCCAACCTCACATTTCCATTTCCAAATCCATTTCAATAAATAAAATAATGAATATTTTCAGACAACGTGAACAGGAAGATCGTACAATGCAATTGATAGAAAAACTAAATACCGATGCCAAACAATATATGGATGAACAGTTTAAGGAATTGTCGGAAAGGTAAACAAATTAAAAATATATTTGGAAAAAATTACGGTCCTATTCGTGCTTTGAAAAATATTTTTAAAAAAAATCTACGTTTGAAAATTTGTTTTTTTAATAGCCATAAAAATATTGGGTTTTTACAAATATTATTTTAATCTAAACCGCTTTGGTCAATGAAAAAAATAATTTTTTTAAAAGTCCACATACATGTTGGGCCTTGGAAAATATATATATTTTTTTAAATCCACGCTTGGTCCACGTTGGGTCTTTGAAAAAAATATTTTTTTAAGAATCCACTACTATGTTGGGTCTGTAAAAATATGTTTTTAAATCCACTTCTATGTTGGGTCTTTGAAAAAATATTTTTAAAAAATCCCCGACAATATTGGGTCTTTGAAAAAAATATATATTTTTTAAATCTAACATCTGTTTGGCATATAGAAAATAATTTTTAACAAAATCTACGTCTTATTCTTTTTTTCAAAAAATATCTTTTTTTTAATCTAGTTCTTATTTTAACTTCAAAAAATATTTTATTAAAAATCTACACCCTATTCGGCTATGGAAATCAATTACTAAATATTTTACAAATTATAAAGCATACTTTTAGGCATGTTTTATAAATTCTTAATTTATGGTAAAAATTTTAAAAATTTCTTTCTTTATTCCCCTTTTCAGACAATACCAACAAGAAACCAAACTAACCCATCTTGTGGAAAAAATCGATGAATATTTTTCGGAAACCAATAAAAGATTTGATGACCTCACCTCCCGCCAAGATAACCAGGAAAATCTAATTGTGAGCATTTCCAATCAAACCCAAGCCTGGACGACAGTGATGCGTCGTCAAGATGGCTCTGTGGATTTCTATCGTAAATGGGCGGAATATAAATCGGGTTTTGGCAATCCGCCAAATGGTGAATTCTTTATTGGTTTGGATAATCTCCATCGTATGACCTCCCGAGAGCCTATGGAGCTATTGGTTGTAATGCATGAATGGGGTGGCGATATGGTCCATGCCCATTACGATCTGTTTCGCATTGGTGGCGAATATGACAAATATGCCATTAAGGTATTGGGTAATTATAGCGGTGATGCTGGTGATGGTTTGGGATATCATTTGGGTATGCCATTTTCAACCTACGATCAGGATAACGATGAATCGACGAGGAATTGTGCCAGCTATTTTCGGGGTGCATGGTGGTTTAAGTCGTGTTATTCGAGGTAAGAGGGAGGAATATTTTTTTAATTTCAATTTTTATAATAATTCTGGAATTTGTTTTTTTTTTTCTATAGCCATTTGTGTGGTCCTTATCGTTTTGAGGCCAATGCCAATCAGGCCGGTGTCAGCTGGGATAAATGGAAGGTGGACTATTCATTCCGATTTGCCGAAATGAAAATTAGACCAAAATTAGTCTGGTCACCTTCTAATAATATCACAGAATCGGAAATGGAAAAGAAAAAATTATTTTAAAATTTGAAAAATAAAATAAATTATAAATAAAAATTATCGAAAATAAAAAAAAAACTTTAAAAAATTAATGCCTTGGTTTGGATATTGAAAAAATAATTTAAAAAAAATCTAATTCCTACGATTTTTTTAAATCTCCGCCTTGTTGTTTGTTTGTCACGATCAAAATAATCATTAATTCCAATAATTTTGATTGTTGGTGTTTTTTTTTTCTTCTTTCATATTTATTTTAGCCATTCCGAAGGCCCATCATGAAGATTAGATCTTTCCTTTACACAATAAACTTTCAATTCAAATAATTTCCACTAAAAATTAATAAAAGACAAAATATACAAATTAAATTTTGTTGTCGGCAATATTTAATTTCGCTTTGGACAATAGACCAGTATCGCCCATATCCTCATTGTAGCCGGGACGATATTTCATGCCAGGGGCCTAAGAAAAAAAAAGAAACAAAGAAAAAATTAAATCTCCACTTTTGTAAAACCTATTCTCCCACTCACATTAAACCAAATATCACGCCATTTCTTGCCACTGTCGGGATCACGCAACAACTCGGGTACATCGAAACGTGGCACATTAAAGTAGTTCATCAAATCGGGTTTACCCGATGTATATTGGATACGGGCCTCACCCCATTCCGATTCATTGTGGAAACGCCAATCTTTCATTTTCTTTTCGGCTGGATCGAAATCGAAATTCTCGAAATCGATACGTTCGATATCTTCAACAACAACTTCAGTTTCGCCACCGGCTGTCCAATCGTAAATCAAGAGCTCAGCATGAGTGGCAATATCCTTGAGGTATTGTTGTTTGTAGATGTTCTCCATGTCGCGCAAATAGGCATCGGTGAAGACGGGCGATTTAACTTCGTAGTCGTTGTTGCGGGCCTTGATGCGTTGCTATGAAAAAATAGAAAGGAAACAAAAAATGGTTAATTAAAATATTTGAAATAAATATAAAAAATTAGAGGTGCATTTTTATCGAATTTCTAATGTTTCGGATATACATTTATATACAACCTATGCAAAAACCTGCACCGATGTTTTTCAATTATTTGGAAAGAGCTTTTATATACCTTGAGAACCATAAAGACTTAATTAGAACCAAATCGGTTGTAATTTTTAACCAAAATCCGTAAATAATATGGTTCTTCTATAAGAGACCTATACACAAAACCTGCACCGATATTGTCAATTTTTTGTAAAGAGCTTTTCTATACCTCCAGAACCCTTAAAACGTAATTATAGCCAAATCGGTGGGAATTTGTAACCAAAATCCCCAAATAAGGTGATTTCGCTATAAGGGACCTATATACAAAACACTGCACACATTTTGTCATTTTTTTTGGAAAGAGCTTTCATATACCTTGAGAACCCTAAAAACGTATTTACAACCATGTCTGCTGGTATTTTTAACCAAAGTCCGCAAATAAGGTGGTTCCGCAGACAAAGGCCTTTTGTATCCCTTGCAATGGGTTTTTGTATTCGTTGAGATCCCTAAAAACTTAATTACAGCCAAATCGGTAGGAATTTCGAACCATAATCAGAAAATAAGTAGGTACCGCTATATGGGATATATACCAAAATCTGTAGCGATATTGATAATTTTTTTTCCAAAGAGCTTTTCTATACTTTGGGGAGCCCTTAAAAATTAATTCGGGCCAAATCGGTTGTAATTTTTAACCAAAATCCGCAAATAAGGCGGTACTTCCTTCTGGGGCCTATACCAAAATCTGCAGCGATATTAATAATTTTTTGCAGGTAGCTTTCATATACCCTTAGAACCCATTATACTAAATTACCGACAAAACGTTTACAATTTTTATCCAAAATTCTGTAATATGAAAGTAGATCTATATGGGGCCTATGTCATAATCTGCAACGATTTTGAAAATTTTTTGCACAGATATTGTATATACCCTGAGGACACTTTATATTAAATTACAGCTAAATCGATTGAAAAAGTGCGGTCAAAACCATCAAATAGGTTGGTACCGCTATGGGAGGGCTATGCCAAAATCTGCACCGAATTTTATAATTTTTCGCATAGAGGTTTTTTACGACCTGAGAAATTTTTATACTAAATTGTAGCCAAATCGATTAAAAAGTGTGGTCAAATTTATCAAATAAGTTGGTATCGCTATGAGTGGGCTATGCCAAAATCTGCATCGATTTTTATAATTTTTTGCATGAGAAACTTTTATACTAAATTGTAGCCAAATCGATGGAAAATGTGGTAAAAATTCTCAAATAAGTTGGTATCGCTATGAGTGGGCTATGCCAAAATCTGCATCGATTTTTATAATTTTTTGCATAGAGGTTCTGTACGACCTGTGTATCCTCAATACCAATTTACAGCCAAATGGATTGAAAAATGTGTTCAAAATCATGAAAAAAGTTGGTACCGCTATGGGATGGCTATGCCAAAATCTGCATCGATTTTTATAACTTTTCGCATAGAGGTTTTCTACGACCTGAGAATCCATTACACCAAATTGTAGCCACATCGCTTGAAATTTTTAGTCAAAACCCTCAATTTATGTGGAACTGCTATGTGGGACCTATGTCTAGGGGACCACCAATGTTGAAAATTTATTATAAGAAGTTTACCAGGCGTGGAGAACCCCTAATACTAAATTTTAGCTCGATCGGATGAAAAATGTGGTCAAGCCCCCTCGATTTATGTGGTAAGGTTATATGGAAGCTATGGCAAATCATGGACCTAATGTCATAATTTATGGTAAAAATGTTTTATACCCTCTGAGGACCTCTGATATTAAATTATCGACAAATTGGTTGACAAATTCAGAATAATATTCTGATCCGACGAAAGGGGCTAATGGGAGATATTGCAAAGCCTTTACCGATATTGACAATTTTTTGCATAGAGCTTTTGTATACCCTAAGAACCTCCAATACCCAATAATAGCCACATCGGATGAAAAATTAGTTCAAACACCTTAATTCATATGTTACGCTAATGTAGAACTTATGGTAAAATGTGAACTAATTTCCGAAAATTATAAAAAGGTGCTTTTCTATCCATAAAGAACCAGCTAATTGCGAAAAAAATGGCAAATTGTTCAAATCAAGTAGTATCAGTACATGGGGTCTAAATCCGAAAATCGGAAAAAGTTTTGCGGGATTTGGGTTACAGCTCGGCTGTCGTGACAATCGATATGCCGTTATAAACTATGCCATTTCGATGACGATTTCGACTGTAATTTTTGATTTTACTATTTCCTATCAATTACTTTTTTCATTCCCCTTAGAATTTCGCCCAAGATATCTACTCTATAACAACAAAAAATTATTTCCTTTTAACATTTATAGTTGAATTTTCTATTACAATTTACTCACCTTAACAGCATCCACGGGCAAATCCAAATAGATAACCAAATGAGGTTTCAATAGCTCCGTAATGGTATTACCTCTCAATTCATAGTATACCGAACGAGCACCCTTCGAGACATAACCATGTTTGTACATTGTCTCCAAGAATACAAAATCGGAATAACAACTGCGATCCAATACCACACCCTGGCCGGTCGACAACAAATGTGCCAATGCATCAACATATTGTTCAAAACGCAATTGATACATTAGAATTTGGAAAGTTGGTGTTAGGCGATGATTGGGTTCCTTGCAGAAATTAACCAAATCAAAGGAACGGCATGATTCGGGCAATTGAGGATCCAACTGACGTAAATCATAACCATATGAATTAATGTAGAACATATCCATATTGGCTTCGGGCACATAGAGCATTTCCAATTCATCGGCTAGCTCTTTGGCAAATTTACTTTTACCCGCTGCAATGGGACCTTCAACACAAATGATTTTGGAATTTTCATTCAAACGTTTTGTGGTCTTGTCGAGCATGGCCTGGAATACGCCATATTCTTTTTCCTTGTAGGGATAGGGTTTGTGTTGGACAACACGGGGACCACCGCGCATTGTTTTGCCCGAAATGAAACGTTGCTGGGTCACGGCAGCCGGCAGGGCGGGAGCATTGCGTGAGCAAAGGCGTATCAGGCCTACTCTGAAAACGGCAGTCATCTGTAAGACAAAACAATAAAAATTTATTAAAAATTGTTGTTATTGTTTATTATCAAATATAATTTATCCTCATTTTTATATTTGCAATAAATATTCCCAAGCACAGGCTGTTACATCACACACTTGCAGCCCTGCTTACTCCAGTGCAAATCAAATGTTAGGGCAATGATTTTGCTTCAATCAAAACAAATTGTGTTTAGTTGTGGTCTTTTTCATGCTTAATCCCACCAATAATTGTATTAACTTTTATTTTTTAATTTATTTTGTTAAAAATCTTCCTAAACTCACTTTTCTGAGGGAAAATGCTCTTCAATTTTGGATGACAGATATCGATTCCACTGACAGCAGCCGCCGTTGTCAAAGTGTTGTTGGTGTTTTTGTTAGCAGTGTGTCAGCTGTTGTCAATGGCACACAGTCAACAGGGTTGTATGCAAAGAGTAGCATGGTTGTTGGCTGATGTTAATGGGAGACAGCGAAAGAGAAAGAGTTGCCATGCTTTGCCAATGAGACTCTTGTTGTTTATTGAAAAAATAAGTAATAAAAGGAAAATTGTATATTTTATTAATAAAATATAATAAAAATTTATTAAATACAGAAATACAGAATCTTTTTCGTTTATAAATTTCTAATAAAATCAGATTTAAATTGTATTTTTCACAGAGAAAACATTTGGCTTGGCATTGGCTCTCTTCCAGGCATTTGAATTTAATTATTTTTAAAAAATTAGGCAAATATTAGTAAAATTTTATTAAAATAGTATAGAATATAGCCCAAATTTTAATGTTTGATAATAAAATATTAATAAAGTGTTATAAAAACTTTATATTGTAAATTGAGAATATATTTGTTTATGATTGCCTTATTCTCTGTTGTTTATTAAAATAAGAAATAAATGTTATTTTTTTGAATTTTATTAATAAAACTTTATAAAAAATGATTGTAGAGAACATCCCCTTTCTTATTATTTGTTAATAATTTTTGATTAAAATTTATTCAGACAATGTTTTAATTGAAAAAACATTTGAGTTACCATTTGCTCTCTTTAGGGTCTATTAATTTAATTATTTTTAATAAAAATAAAGCAAATTATGAAAAGTATTATTAAAATTATAAGGATTATATGGTCTTTTTCACTCTTTGATATTAGGTTCTTTATAAAATATGATAAAAATTATATTTTTTATATTGAGAAAATAATATTTGCTCAAGATTGCATTTGTCATAGAAACTCTTTGTTTCTCTGTTGCTTATTAAAATAAGAAATAAATGTTATTTTTAGTATTTTTTTAATAAAATGTTATAAATAATTGTTGAATATAATGTTAAAAAAATATTTCGTTCATAAATCTTCTAATATACAGGTTAAAAAATTAGTTTTAATAGAGAAAACGTTTGAGTTACCATTGAAAAACAATGCATTTTCTCTTAGTTCCGTTTGCAAATAAATTAAAAAATAAATAATTAAAAAATAACAGTATTTACTATAAATTTGAATAGAAATAAAACAGTATATTTGATTTCCTACCACCATAGCAAATACTTTTTTAATATAGTTGTTCAAAAGTTGTATTTTTTGTATAATAAATATTTAACTGCAGGAAGAGAAATAAAACAATGAAATATTATTTGAAAATAATAATGAGTAACAATTTCAATAAAAATAATAGTTAATATTAATCCCTATTCATTCTTTGGTAATAAATTCTTTAAAAAATTTGATAAAATTGTAGTTTTTACAAACTATTTCAAGGCGGTAATAAGAAAAGAGAGTCAAAGTCAGTTCTCAGTTCTTTGTGTAGCTTGCAAAGAAAATAAATTATTTTATAAAAAATAACACTACTTATTATAAAATTTAAGAGATATAAAGTAGTATATTTGATTCCCTATCCCTTTTTGCTAATTTTTCTTAAAAAACTTGTTAAAACCCCGTATTTTTAGTTAAATAAATATTTAACATCAGGAACAGAGATAAGAGAGCCCTTATTGACATTGTGTGGCTGTTGTAAATTAAAATATTATTAAGAAATAATAACAATTATTAAATAAATAAATAATAATAATGAAGAATATTAGATTCACTTTCGTCTGTGATATACAATTATTGAATTATTGTTAAAAGTTGTATTTTACTTTAGAACATATTTGTTTGGCGGGAAAGACATAAAGATGCAATGCACTGTCTGTCTTAAATTAAAGATGAAGATAGATATTCTTTTGAAATATCAAGTATTATAATGAAATTTCTTAAAAATAATGAAGAATAGGAAATTCACTATCCTTTTTGAGGTATACATTTTAATATTATAAGCCAAAATTGTATTTTTATTTAAAATATAGTTTCCTGTCGGAATAGATAAAAAGAGTCGCTGTTGATATGCTGTGGCTGTTGTAAATAAAAAAAATATTATTCACAAATAATAACAATTATTAAATAAATTAATAATAATAATGAAGAATATTAGATTCACTTTCGTCTGTGATATAAAATTATTGAATTATGGTCAAAATTGTATTTTACATTAGAACATATTTATTTGGCAGGAAAGACATAAGAGAGGCAATGCCGACTCTGCCTGGCTGTTTTAAATTAAAGATATTCTTTTGAAATATCAAGTATTATGATAAAATTTGATAAAAATAATGACAAATAGAAAATTTACTATCCCTCTTGATATATAATTTTTAATATTATCAGCCAAAATTGTATTTTTATTTAGAAATATATTTTCCTGTCGGAATAGATAAAGAAAGCCGCTATTGACATTGTGTGGCTGTTATAAATTAAAATATTATTAAGAAATAATAAAAATTATTAAAAAATTAATAAAAATAATGAAGAATATTACATTCATTTTCGTCTCTTATATAAGCTTATTGAAATTATTGTTAAAAATTGTATTTTACTGTAGAAAATATTTATTTATAGGGAAAGACATAAAGAGGCAATGCACTGTCTGTCTTAAGTTAAAGATATTCTTTTGAAATATCAAGTATTATAATAAAATGACGTAAAAATAATGAAGAATAGAAAATTCTCTATCCCTTTTGATATATAATTTTTAATATTATAAGCCAAAATTGTATTTTTATTTAGAAATATATTTCCCTGTCGGAAGCTCACAGAGTTAAGGTCGATGCCTGTGGCGGTTTTATATTAAAATATTATAATAAATAATAGAAGTTATTAAAAACAATTTATAACAACAATGAACAATATTACATTCACTTATATAAATTTTTTGAAATTATTGCCAAAAATTGTATTATACTTTAGAAAATCTTTATTTGGTGGGAAAGAGATAAGAGAGTCAATGTCAACTTTTTAAAATTAAAATATTCTTTAATAATAAAAATAAAAATTATAAACGTTCCCTTATTTATTTTATAACCTAAAAATGTGTTCTTTTTTAGAAAATAATTGCCTGCCGGAAGAGAAGTAAGAGAGTCAACGCCTCCACTGGTAGAATGCTTTAAATTAAAATATTATAAAAAGTAAAAATAAAAAATATAATAGAATAGTCACAACATTGTACAATATAGTAGTTCTTCTATTCAATTTGTTATTAATTTTTAATATAATTGTCAAAAAATGTGTTTTTATTAGAAAAATAATTGCCTACTGTAAGAGAAGTAAGAGAGTCAATATAGACTCCGGCTTGCTTGTTTTAAATTGAAATGTTATTAAAAATTAATAATAAATATAATTGAATATTAGCAAAATTATGCAGTTTCTTACCTTCTGCCCTCCTTGGTATATAATTTTTAATATTTTAACCTAAAATTGATTATTATATTGTTTTTATTTAGAAACATTTTTTGTTTGGCTGAAAAGAGATACGAGAGCCACTGTTGGTCTGCTTTAAATTACAATATTACTAAAAATAACAATAAATATAATAAAATGGTAACGAAATTATGCAAAATATTTGTTCCTCTTTCCCTTTTAATATTTAATTTTTAATATAATAGCCAAAAACCGTGTTTTTTATTTAGAAAATATTTGCCTGCTGGAAGAGATGTAAGAGAGAGTCGATATAGACGCCGGCTGGCTCCTTTAAATTAAAATATTGTTAAAAATTAGCAATAAATATAATAGAATAGTATTTAATTTTTTAATATTAAAGCCTAAAATTGTGTTTTTATTTAGAAAATATTTTGTTTTCCATTAAAGAGATAAGAGAGTCAATGTTGCCACCGTGGGTCTGTTTTAAATTACAATATTATTAAAAATTAACAATAAATATAGTAAAATAATAGCAAAATAGTGAAATATATTTCTTCCTCTATCCATTTTGATATTAAAATTTTAATATAATAGAAAAGGAATGTGTTTTCTATTAAGAAAATATTTGCCCGACAAAAGAGAATTAAGAGACAGTAATATAGACACCGGCTGGCTGCTTTAAATTATAATTTTATGATAAAATAACAATAACTGTAATTGAATATTAGTAAAATTTTGGAATATATTTGTTCTTCTATCTTCTTTGTTATTAAAATGTTAATATAATAGCCAAAGAATGTGTTTTGTATTAAGAAACGATTTGCCTGTCAAAGAGACGTAAGAGAGAGAGAGAGAGAGAGTAATATAGACACCGGCTGGCTACTTTAAATTAAAATATTATTAAAAAATAACAATAAATACAATTAAATATTAGTAAAATTATGCAAAATATGCGTTCCTCTATCCTCTTTATTATTAAAATTATAATATTATAGCCAAAAATGTGCTTGAGTTGAGAAAATATTTGCCTGTCAAAAGGGAAGTAAGATAGAGTGATATAGACCCCAGCTGGCTGCTTTAAATTAAAATATTATTAAAACTTAACAATACAATCAATAGAATAATAAATAAATTATGTAGTTTATTTGTTTATCAACACCTTTTGTTATTAAATTTTTAAAATTATTGTCAAGGAAGATGTTTTTATTTAGAACATTTTTTGTTTGGCGGGAAAGAGATAAGAGAGCCAATATCGATCCTTTGTGTCAATTTTAAATTAAAATATTATTATGAAATGACAATAATTATAATAGATTTTTAATAATATTATACAGTATATTTTACCCTCTTCCCCCTTTGTTATTATTTTTGTAATATTAAAGCCTAAATTTGTGTTTTTAATTAGAAAATAGTTTATTTGGCGGGAAAGAGTTAAGAGAGTCAATTTTGACACTGTGTGCCTCGCTTTAAATTAAAATATCTTTAGAAATTAACAAGGATTTTAATAAAATTTGATAGAAATCATAAAGTATATTCGATTACTCATCCTTTTTGCTTATAAATTTCTAATAAAATCGATTTAACTATTATTTTTTTTAATAGAGAAAAAAATCTTTATTCCCATTGCTTTGCGTTGGCTCTCTTTGTGCCTGTTATAAAGAAAGCATCGAAATATTAGGAAAATACGAATATTTATTATGAAATTTAAAAAAAAAAATAATAATCTATAATTGCTATCCTTCCCCTGATACTACAAAATTATTAAAAAATTGGCATAAAACATTATTTTTTATTGAGAAACAATTTGGCATACCAAGAGAGAAATAAGAGAGAACCATTGTCAACTCCCTTTGCGGCTATTGTAAAGGAATTTTATTGGAATAAAAATACAGTTCTTATTAGAAAAATCATAGAAAGTGCTGAAAAGGAAAATGATTGAAAAAAGAACAAATATTATTGGAACCAGTAAGGAAAGTAGTAAAGTCGGACGGGGCCGACTATATGATACCCTTCATCACTTTGAGTATATTCAACAGATGAATCCTAACAGAAGTCGCATTTTTAAAGGACCAGTAAAATGAAATTGGAACCATAAACACGTCATTCTGCAACCGATACTAAATTGTTCATTTGGTCAGATATAGAAGCTATATCTAAATCTGAACCGATTTCAGGAAACTTAACACACATCATTCTAGAACTAATTTGTTACGCTGTGCCAAATTTCGTGCAAATCGAAAGATATATAGGGACTTTGATGCACCATTTACATTAAATCTGACGAAAGTATATGTGGGAGCTATATATAAATCTGAACCGATTTTCAGGCAACTTTACACACATCATTCTAGACCTAATTTGCTACGCTGTGCCAAATTTCGTGCTTAAATCGACTCAAAAAGTGATTCTATGCATATTCTCAAAAGGAGCCATGGGTCTATCTCGATTATTTTTGCATGTTACAAACATATGCACAAAAACATAATACCCTGTACCAGAAAAAAGAATTTGGTTCAAGAACCTCAAAACCTGGGGGCTACCAGAAAAAATTGACCAATATTTATAATTTATAGTGGAGAGATGTGCTACCTAATAAGAACTCGACGTACTAAATTACAGTCAATTTGGTCGAAAAATCCGATCAGAACCCCCAAAATACCAAAAATTTTGGGGTACCGTTATATGTGTACTACCAGAAAAACTGGACCTATATTTATAATTTTTAGTGGAGTAATTTGGTACCCAATAAGAACCCAATGTACAAAATTTCAGCGAATTTAGTTATAAAACGAGCCCAAAAACCCGAAAATACCGAAAATTGGGGGTGCCCTAATATGGGGGCTTTCCGAAAAAATGGACCTTTATTTATAATGTTTGGTAGGGAGATTTGCTACCCAATAAGAACACAAAGTACCAAATTTCAGTGAATTCGGTCGAAAAATGCGATCAAAACCCCCAAAATACCGAAAATTGGGGGTAATCTTATATGGGGGCTATCCGAAAAAATGGACCTTTATTTATAATTTTTGGTAGGGAGATTTGCTACCCAATAAGAACTCAATGTACAACATTTCAGCGAATTCAGTTAAAAAACGCGCTCAAGAACCTCAAAATACCGAAAATTTGGGGGTACCCTTATATGGGGGCTATGCGGAAAAATGGACCGTTATTTATAGTTTTTGGTAGGGAGATTTGCTACCCAATAAGAACACAAAGTACCAAATTTCAGCGAATTCGGTCGGAAAATGCGATCAAAACCCCCAAAATACCGAAAATTGGGGGTAATCTTATATGGGGGCTATCCGAAAAAATGGACCTTTATTTATAATTTTTGGTAGAGAGATTTGCTACCCAATAAGAACTCAAAGTACCAAATTTCAGCGAATTCAGTTAAAAAACGCGCTCAAGAACCTCAAAATACCGAAAATTTTGGGGTACCCTTATATGGGAGCTATGCCTAAACGTGGACCGATTTTCTCCAATTTCAATAGGGTTCGTCCTTGGGCCAATTAAGTGACCTGTGCCAAATTTCATCCAAATCGGATCATAAATGCGACCTGTACTTTGTTAACAAAAATACATGGACGGACGGACGGACAGACGGACGGACGGACAGACGGACGGACAGACGGACATGCATAAATCGACTCAGAAAGTGATTCTATGCATATTCTCAAAAGGAACCATGGGTCTATCTCGATTATTTTTGCCTGTTACAAACATATGCACAAAGACATAATACCCTGTACCACAGTGTGGTGAAGGGTATAAAAATTATTGACGTACGTTAAATCCCCTAACCCTGGTGCAGATGCCCCGTAAGATTCATAATGTCAGCCACATATATTTAGAAGGTATACAATTTTCTTAAATTAAAGCATACTTTCAGGCGTATTTAACATCAAATAAAATGATTTGTTCTTATAGCATCCCTACTGCCTTTGACACAATGGGCTGAGGTGACGGAAGTTGACAAAGTGAGACTCTGGTTGTATTGAATGATAATTTGTTGTTTTTGTTGTGAGACTTAGGTCAGGTTTCGGATCGTAGACTATTCTGAGGAGGAAACGTAAATTATTTAATTTTGTTGTTGTTGTTTTTTTTTTAAACAAAAAATATGAATCATAACTTATGAAATTATTTTCTTTACACTTCATTGCACCCATAAGAGAAAAAATATTTTTTCTTATTTATTTACTGGTCCTAAAAAATAACAAAATGTAAATATTTTCTTGCAGCAGCCGCAAACGAAGTTCAATGATATTATGAACAGAAAAAAATTCCAAACAGATAACAACGTCAAAGAAAATATATGTTAATAAAACGAATATTGATATTGATTTATTTTAATGGTATAAAAACCTTGGGAGATTTGTCTAGGTATTCAGTACATTGCCGATATTTGAGGAATAATTTTGGGGAAAAATTTTTAATTTCATCAAAATGAAGGTTTTTGGATTTCTAGCAGTAATTCTTGCCTTGGCAGTTAGCTGCCAGGGTTATAGTTTTTTAATACCACCCAGTAAGTTGTGAAAAGAAAAATTTTTTTGGAGGACCTGAAGGAGAAATCTTTCACATAATTTTTTTCTCTTCTCTCCCCCCTCTCTCTCTAGAACAAAATATGCCTGGCGTTTGTATGTATCATGGTGTAATGCTAAAGCGCGGTGATAATAACATGATGAACTCATGCCAAAATTTACGCTGTAATGAAGATGGTTCGATATTGGTGCAAGGGTAAGGCAGCAGGGTATTTTCGAAAGAAAAAATTTTTCAAAAAAAAAAAGAAAATTAAAACAAAAAAATTAAAAAAAATTAAAAAAGAAAAATTAAAAAAAAATCTTTCAAAACATTTATTTTACAAAATAAAAAAACATCAAAAATTAAAAAAATAATCAAAAATTTAGTATTCAAAAAAAAAAAAAAAATCAAAATTTGTAAAAATATTTTGTCTCATTCCAGCTGTGGCCATTATAATATGCGTGATTGTCGTATTTTGGATCCGATGAATTTACACAAACCCTATCCGGATTGTTGCCGTATGAATTTCCTGTGTACCATGCCAAATGGTGAGGTAGTTAATCGTGAGGTGCACCCTTTGGAGACGGGGGTATATGCTTAAACAATAAAAATAATTTGGAATATAAAAATTAAAATAAATTATAAATAAATATATATGGGAGCTATATATAAATCTGAATCTATTTTCACGAAACTAAAAACACATCATTCTACACTCAATTCAGTACACTATGCCAAATTTCGTGGAAATCGAAAGATATATAGGGACTTTGGTTAACCATTTACCTAGATCGGACGAAAATATATATGGGAGCTATATATAAACCTGACCCGATTTTCTCGAAACTTGGCACACATCATTCTAACTCAATTCTGTAGGCTATGCCAAATTTCGGGACTTTGGTGCAACATTTACATAAAATCTGACGAAAATATATATGGGAGCTATATATAAATCTGAACCGATTTTCTCGAAACTTCGCTCACGTCATTATAGACTTATTTGAGTACGCTATACAAAATTTCTAGCAAATCGAAAGATATATAGGGACTTGTGTACAACATTTACATTAAATCGGACGAAAATATATATGGGAGCTATATCTAAATCTGAACCGATTTTCAAGAAACTCAGCACACATCATTCTAGTCTCAATTCAGTACGCTATGCCAAATTTCGTGGAAATCGAAAGATATATAGGGCTTTGGCTAACCATTTACCTTAAATCGGACGAAAATATATATGGGAGCTATATCTAAATCTGAACCGATTTTCACGAAGCTCAGCACACATCATTCTAGACTCAATTCAGTACGCTATTACAAATTTCGTGCAAATCCAAGGATATATAGGGACTTTGGTACACCATTTACATAAAATCGGACGAAACTATATATGGGAGCTATATCTAAATCTGGACCGATTTTCAGGAATTTTAACACACATCACTCTAGACCTAATTCCGTATGCTCTGATAAATTTCGTGCAAATCGAAAGACATATAAGGACGTTTGTGCACCATTTACATAAAATCGGGCGAAACTATATATGGGAGCTATATCTAAACCTGGACTGATTTTCATGAAACTTGACAGGCATCAGTCTAGGTTCAATTCAGTACGTTATGCTAAATTTCGTGGAAATCGAATGATATATACGGACTTTGGTGCACCATTTACATAATATCGGCCAAACTATATATGGGAGCTATATCTAAATCTGAACCGATTTTCAGGAAACTTAACACACATCATTCTGGACCCAATTCATTACGGTGAGCCGAATTTGGTGCAAATCGAAAGATATTTAGGAACTTCGGTGCGCCACTTACATTAAATCGGACGAAAATATATATGGGAGCTATATCTAAATCTGAACCGATTTTCACGAAACTTTGCACACATCATTCTTGACATAATTTAGTACGCTGTGCTAAATTGCGGGCAAATCGAAGGATATATAGGGACTTTGGTGCACCTTTCGGACGAACATATATATGGGAGCTATATCTAAATCTGAACCGATTTTCTTGAATTTCAATAGGGTTCGTCCTTGGGCCAAATAAGTGAGCTGTGCCAAATTTAATCCAAATCGGATCAGAAATGCGACCTGTACCTTGTTCACAATTTAACATCTACAGACGGACAGACGGATGGACGGACTGACGGACATGCATAAATCGTCTCAGAAAGTGATTATATGCATATTCTCAAAAGGAACCATGTGTCTATCTCGTTTCCTTTTGCCGGTTACAAACATATGCACAAAGACTAATACCCTGTACCACAGAGTGGTGAAGGGTATAAAAATCCAAGCCTAAGGATATTCTTTGAATTTTTTAAATATACACGCCTTGGTCTAGGCATTGAAAAATTTATTTATTTTTTTTTCAATTTATTTTCCAATTCAATATTTTGCTTTTATTTTCATTTCGACAAATTTCAGCGAATAATTTAGACCCTTCCATTCTTTCCAGGTAACACCATCCTCAGTATCATGGTCTTCATCTTTATAGGGACCATTTAAATCGCTAAAAATTGAAAAAAATTATTTAAATTTCAAAATACCAAAAAAATTCCTCCCCAAATCTTCCAAAATCCCTACCTTAGAGCACACGTTTTAAACCACCAGGCACTTTTATAAAGTTCAGCACAATTGGTCTCATCATCTTCATCATTGTCGCTATCGAAGGTGGAGAATTTCTGACCCATATAATAGTCCATGCCATCACCTGCCGTGCCACTATAATCACCCAATTCGATAATGGCATATTTCCCCTCCTCTCCCGAAATTCGAAAATTATTGTAATGGGCATAACGGGTATCATTTTCCCAATCTTTCAAAATTATCAGCAGCTCATGAGGCTTCTCCGAGGTTAGTTGGTGTAATTTTTCAAGCCCCATAAAGAATTCACCCCTTTCGGAAGTGCCGAATCCCATACGATATTCAGTCCAGTTTCGATAGAAATCTTCCGTACCATCCTGACGTCTTTGTATGGTGGTCCAATTGGCATACTGCAGTTCTGCCATTTGGGCTAGTTGAGCATTTGATCTGAAAGGAAATGGGGGAGTTAAAGAACACACACACAAATTTTGTCTCTTCTTCTTTTTCCATTAACTAACCTTTTCTCAAGTTCATCAATTCTGAAAAAAGAAAATTTTCAACAAATTAGTGAACAAATTTGGATTCTAAAAATAGATATACCCACTTCTTTTCCAAAATGTCTAGATGATCCCGCACACCTTTTGTTTTCTTCAAAAGGCGTTCTAACTTGTCCTGAATCAATTCCAAGGGATCCTGAGGATAATAAAATATTTAAATTTAAATAGAAAATTTTATTTCTAGATTTTGAAAATTTATTTTTTTAAATTATTTTGAATTTTTTTGAAACATTTTTTTTCAAAATTTTATTTTTTTTTCCAAGATTTTATATATTTTTTCATGATGTCCACTTACCGAATCCTCATTCCCCGATTGTTTTCGACATAAACCATGTCCCACAAAATATAGTATCCCTATTACGAGGTAAATAATTTTCATTATTTTTACGATTAGTTTCAAGCTGCACAACAAGTTTTGAACTGAAATTCAGAAATTCCAAATGCCTGCAACCATATTGGATTTTTTCTTCCGATTGCAAAAAAAAATAATAATTAAATTTCTTATCAGGGTTACGACCAAAGGTCAAAACAGTGATATGATTCTATAATCCACACCTATTTGTAGGTTATGAACAATTAAATCGATCTTTAAAATACTATTAAATATATTTGTATGTATATATGTTTATAATCCCTTATCATTATTAATAAATAATTATAAAATTTAAAAAAAAAATATAAAATTCAGTCAATCGTTAGCTATCTCTCACGGAAGATGAAACATTTTTGGTTGGTAATTCTTGTCGGGTTTCCGACGATCTACGGTACTAAAGTGGATCATTATGGGGTAAATATAAAACGATTTTTTTGGAAAAAATATTTTCAAATTTGTTGTTCCAGATTTCTCCCGATGAAGAGGATATGATTGCTGTGTGGAAAATCTTATTCTCAAAACTTGATGCCCTTTCTAGAGACAATGAAAAACTACGCCTGCAGTTGGGAAATCTAGAAAATCGTATCGAATCATTGGAACATTCCAGTAAAGCACCACAAAATGCCTGGATCAGCATTCTGCGGCGTCAAGATGGTTCGGAGAATTTTTATCGCAACTGGTCGGAATACAAAAGGGGTTTTGGCAATGCCGCACATGGAGAATTTTTCATTGGTCTCGACAGGCTGCATGCGCTGACCAATAACTCAACTCAGGAATTGTTGATAATTCTCAAAGATTGGAATGATGAGATGCGTTATGCCTTCTATGATTATTTTAAGATTGGCAGTGAAAAGGAGTTCTACAGCCTTAAATTGCTCGGAGCATATAGTGGTGATGCTGGAGATGCTTTGCGCGTACATCAGGGCAGAAATTTCTCAACATATGATCAATGGAATGATACTGGTAGTAATTGTGCCACACGCTGGAAGGGGGCATGGTGGTATGCCGTGTGTTATGAAAGGTATTTTTTGTGGAAAATATTTTCCATATTTTGTGTGGAAGATGATGAAAATAATTGCCATTTCTTTTTGTCTAGCCATCTAACTGGTGTCTATAGACCTTCGGATAATTTCACACAACCGGGTGTGGGTTGGCTGAAATGGAAATCTGAATATTCTCTGAAATATGCTGAAATGAAAATACGTTTGAAAATATTTTGAAGAAGAAAAAAAAATGATTATAAATATAAGCACTTAAAAATATTACTCAATAAATAATATTAATTTTAAACCAGTGAGTGGAGCAGGGGCCGACCATATGACACCCTACACAACTTCCACGAAAATCTAACTTTCTGTGGTTATATATTCTGAGCATGAATATTTCGCTATATTTGCACCCTCTTGACCGACTAGAGATCAACAAACATTTCTAATATTCAGTACAGCCCTTCTAATTACTTGTCCAGATTCCCTTCACCGTGGGTTGTGTTATGATGTTCGGCTTTCAATTGTGACCTATAGATCGACCCGAAAAACACAAAAAATGCTATTTTCGGTCCACCTCATCCCAATATTATTATCTGATCATCACCGAAAAATATAGGCGTTGTTCTTGAACATAACTGGATCCTCATGGAAAATTTCAAAGCGATCCGCGCTATATTTCCGCCCTCTAATGTGGTAATGGGTTAGTAAATAATATCTGAATACGTAAGTACCTGTAAATATTTAAGTGTTACTCTTACATCCGACTACATCCGACTACATACGACAACATATTTGGTATCAACCACTCCTCTTGGATATACTATCAACTTCTTGGGTCTATGTCCTTCAGGAGTAAATATATACGCCATAGAATACATAGTTTGTCATTTTTCACACAAAAGTCAGGGTCCATTTAAACCGCTAAATAATGACCGATCTTTATCAAACCAGGCATGCATATTCTCTGTCCCAATCCTGTTCTCCAAATTCGGTTCATATTTGCGGCCTTTAGAGCGACCAGAAAAATCGACAAAAATTAAATATTTGGTCCATATCATCCCCTAACTATTAACCGATCTTTACCAAAAACAATAGGGGTCTTCATGGGCCAAAACCCTTCCTACATGCAAAATTTCGTTAAGATCGGTCCATAACTGTGGTCTGTATCGTGTTTACAAATTATAATGGACAGACGGACGGAGGGACGGACAGGCATACATGTCTATATCGACTCAGCTAGTCTAGATAAGACGATCGGTATACTTAATGGTGGGTCTAGGACCAATATTTCGCGGCGTTACAAACTGTTGGGGCTGCACAAAGCTATAATACCCTGACAACATAGTTGTGTAGGGTATAAAAATCAACCCCTAAAGATATACCCGATTAATTAATTTTTAAATAATCGACGCCTAAAGACATACCCGAAATATGAATCTAAAAAACGACGCCTAAAGATATATCCGAAAAATGAATTGAAAAAAAACGACGACTAAAGATATACCCGAAAAATGAATTTTAAAAAAATCCACGCCTATTTTTTTAATATCCACCCCTAGACGTGTATATAAAAATAATTTTTAAAAAAATCGACGCCTTGGTGTAGACCCTTAAAAATAATTTTTATACCCTTCACCACTCTGTGGTACAGGGCATTATGCCTTTGGGCATATGTTTGTAATAGGTCAAAGGAAACGAGATAGACACATGGTTCCTTTTGAGAACATGCATAGAATCACTTTCTAAGTCGATTTATGCATGTTCGACCATCCGTCCGTCTGTCTGTTTGTCCATGTTAAATTGTAAACAAAGAATAGATCGCTTTTATGATATTCGGCATAGGTCACTTATTTGACCCAAGGACGAACCATACTGAAATTGGGAAAAATCGGTTTAGATTTAGATATAGCTCCCATATATATATATTCCCCCGATTTAATGTAAGCGGTCCCTATATATCTTTCGATTTGCACAAAATTTGGCACAGCGTACTGATTAAAGTCTAGAATGATGTGTGTTAAGTTCAAGAACGATGTGTGCTAGTTTTCGTGATAATCGGTTCAGATTTAGATATAGCTCCCATATATATTTTCGTCCGATTTAAGGTAAATGGTTCATCAAAGTTCTTAAATATCCTTCGATTTGAACGAAATTTGGCGTAGCGTACTGAATAAAGTCGAGAATGATGTGTGTTAAGTTTCTTGAAAATTGCTTCAGATTCAGATATAGCTTCCATATATATTTTCGTCCGATTTAAGGTAAATGGTGTAACAATGTCCCTACATATCTTTCGATTTGCACGAAATTTGACATAGTGTACTGAATTAGGTCTAGAATGATGTTTGTTAGATATAGCTCCCATATATATTTTCGTCCGATTTCATGTAAATGGTGCACCAAAGTCCCTTGATATCTTTCGATTTGCACGAAATTTGGCATAGCGTACTGAATTAGGTTAGAATGATTTGAAAATCGGTTTAGATTCAGATATAGCTTCCATATATATTTTCGTCCGATTTGAGGTAAATGCTGCAGCAAAGTCGCTAAATATCTTTCGATTTGCACGAATTTTGGCATGGGGTACTGAATTAGGTCTAGAATGATGTGTGCCAAGTTTTGTGAAAATCGGTTCAGATTTAGATATAGCTCCCATATATATTTTCGTCCGATTTAAGGTAAATGGTGTACCAAAATCCCAATATATCTTTCGATTTGCACGAAATTTGGCATAGCGTACTGAATAAAGTCGAGAATGATGTGTGTTAAGTTTCTTGAAAATCGCTTCAGATTCAGATATAGCTTCCATATATATTTTCGTCCGATTTATGGTAAATGATATACCAGAGTCACTATATATCTTTCGATTTGTATGAAATTTTGCATGTGGTACTGCATTATGTCTAGAATGATGTGTGTTAAGTTTTCTGAAAATCGGTTCGGGTTTTGATATAGCTCCCATATATATTTTCGTCCGATTTAAGTTAACTGGTGTAGCAAAGTCCCTATATATCTTTCGATTTGAACGAAATTTTGCATGGGGTACTCATTTAGGTCTAGAATGTTGTGTGCCAAGTTTCGAGAAAATCGGCTCAAATTTATATACAGTTCCTATATATATTTTCCTCCGATTTGAGGTAAATGGTATACCATAGTCCCTATATATCTTTCGATTTGCACGAATTTTTGCATGGGGTACTGAATTAGGTCCAGAATGATGTGTGTTAAGTTTCTTGAAAATCGGTTTAGATTCAGATATAGCTCCCATATATATTTTCGTCCGATTTGAGGTAAATAGAGCACCAAAGTTCCTACATATCTCTCGATTTGCACGAAATTTGGCATAGCGTACTGAATTAAGTATAGAATGACGGTTGCTAAGTTTCGTGAAGATCGGTTCAGATTTAGATATAGTTCCCATATATATTTTCGTCCGATTTAAGGTAAATGCTGCAGCAAAGTCCCTAAATATATTTCGATATGCACGAAATTTTGCATAGGGTACTCATTTAGGTCTACAATGATGTGTGTTAAGTTGGTGAAAATCGGTTCAAATTTATATATAGCTCCCATATATATTTTCGTCCGATATAAGGTAAATGGTGTAGCAAAGCCCCTATATATCTTTCGATTTGCACGAAATTTTGCATGGGATACTGAATTAGAATGATGTGTGTTAAGTTTCAGGAAATTCGCTTCAGTTTTAGATATAGCTCCCATATATATTTTCGTCCGATTTAATGTAAATTGTACACCAAAGTTCCTATATATCTTTCAATTTCCACAAAATTTTGCATGGGGTACTGAATTAGGTCTAGAATGACGTTGTTAAGTTCCATGAAAATCAGTTCAGATTTAGACATAGCTCCCATGTATATTTTCGTCCGATTTAATGTAAATAGTGCACCAAAGTCCCTATATATCTTTCGATTTGAACGAAATTTAGCATGGGTTACTGAATTAGGTCTAGAAGGATGAGTGTTAAATTTCGTGAAAATCGGTTGAGATTTAGATATAGCTCCCATATATATTTTCGTCCGATTTAATGTAAATGGTATACCAAAGTCCCTATATATCTTTCGATTTGTACGAAATTTTGCATGGGGTACTCATTTAGGTCTGGAATGACGTGTGCCAAGTTTCGTGAAAATCGGATCAGATTTAAATATGGCTCCCATATATATTTCCGTCCGATTTAATGTAAATTGTACACCAAAGTTCCTATATATCTTTCAATTTCCACAAAATTTAGCATGGGGTACTGAATTAGGTATAGAATGACGTGTGTTAAGTTTCATGAAAATCAGTTCAGATTTAGACATAGCTCCCATATATATTTTCGTCCGATTTAATGTAAATAGTGCACCAAAGTCCCTATATATCTTTCGATTTGAACGAAATTTAGCATGGGGTACTGAATTAGGTCTAGAATGATGTGTGTTAAGTTTCGGTTCAGATTTAGATATAGCTACCATATATATTTTCGTCTGATTTAAGGTAACTGGTGTAGCAAAGTTCCTATATAACATTCGATTTGCACGAAATTTAAATTTCAGATTTAGATATATATTGTTGTCCGATTTCACACAAATTTTTGCATAACGTAGTGAAGTTAGTATAACCTAGAAGTTAGATATAAATTCTGCACCAAACTCCCCAGGTGGGTCCGATTGGCACAAAATTTTGCACAACGTACGGAAGATACTATAACATAACGTGTGGCTAGTTTTGTTGAAATCGGTTCAAATTTAGATATATAACTCCTAGATATACTTTCGTCTGATTTTAGTTAAATGGTACACCAAAGACCCAACGATAGGCCGATTGACACAAAATTTTGCACTTTTTATACCCTTCACCACACTGTGGTACAGGGTATTATGTCTTTGTGCATATGTTTGTAACAGGCAAAAGGAAACGAGATAGACCCATGGTTCCTTTTGAGAATATGCATAGAATCACTTTTTAAGTCGATTTATGCATGTCCGTCTGTCTGTCTGTCCATGTATTTTTGTGAACAAAATACAGGTCGCATTTATGATCCGATTTGAATGAAATTTGGCATAGGTCACTTATTCGGCCCAAGGACGAACCCTATTGAAATTGGGAAAAATCGGTTCAGATTTAGATATAGCTCCCATATATATATTTAACCGATTTAATGTAAACGGTCCCTATATATCCTTCTATTTGCACGAAATTTGGTACAGCCTAATCATTTAGGTCTAGAATGATGCCTGTCAAATTTCGTGAAAATCGGTCCAGATTTAGATATAGCTCCCATATATAGTTTCGTCCGATTTCATGTAAATGGTGCCCCAAAGTCCCTATATATCCTTCGATTTGCACAAAATTTGGCATAACGTACTGAATTAAGCCTAGAGTGATGTATGCCAAGTTTCAAGAAAATCGGTCCAGATTTAGATATAGCTCCCATATATAGTTTCGTCCGATTTCATGTAAATGGTGCCCCAAAGTCCCTATATATCTTTCGATTTGCACGAAATTTGGCATAACGTACTGAATTGAGCCTAGAATGATGCCTGCCAAGTTTCGTGATGCCTGCCAAGTTTCGTGAAAATCGGTCCAGATTTAGATATAGCTCCCATATATAGTTTCGTCCGATTTCATGTAAATGGTGCACCAAAGTCCCTATATATCTTTCGATTTGCACGAAATTTGGCATAACGTACTGAATTAAGCCTAGAGTGATGTCTGCCAAGTTTCAAGAAAATCGGTCCAGATTTAGATATAGCTCCCATATATAGTTTTGACCGATTTCATATAAATGGTGCCCCAAAGTCCCTATATATCATTCGATTTGCACGAAATTTGGCAAAACGTACTGAATTGAGCCTAGAATGATGCCTGCCAAGTTTCGTGAAAATCGGTCCAGATTTAGATATAGCTCCCATATATAGTTTCGTCCGATTTCATGTAAATGGTGCCCCAAGGTCCCTATATATCCTTCGATTTGCACGAAATTTGGCATAACGTACTGAATTGAGCCTAGAGTGATGTCTGCCTTATAGATTGATTTTAAGTAATTTACGCACCTGTGACAAGTGTGTTTGAAATCGCATAATATTTGGATAGAGCTTCCATATATATTTTCGCCCGATTTCAAGTAAATTGGGCATCAAACTCCTCATGTTAGTCAGATTGACATCAAATTTTGCACAACGTACAAAATTGAGCATAGAATTACGTAGTTGCGTTTTCTAGAAGTACAGGCATAGCCCAACGGATGACCTATTTATATTTGTTTGAAGTCGATTTACATACTTTATGGACAGATCTAGGTAGATTCACATTTAGATAAATATCACATATTATATTTCATCCAATTTCATGTTAATTGTCCTGTTTAATATACCCATAGTGGTGAAGGGTATCATATAGTCGGTCCCGTTCGATTTTACTACTTTCCTGACTGGTTAAAAAAGTTACGCCAAAAAATATTTTTTTTAATTATTTCCAACCTTAAATTTATTTACAAATAATTAAAACCTAAAAAAGAATACATAATAAATAAATTAATTAAATTTTAAAAGTATTTATATAATAACGGGATTAAATTTAATTTAAATTTTTAGAATTAAAAAAAAGTATATATTTTATTACAATGGAATAAATTTTAATCCACATCCATTAGCTTAAAATAATTTAATTAAATACGAACTGGAAGAGGATATTAAAATTTTTGTTTTGTCGAATTTATTTATTTTTACCTATTTTAGTTAAATTATTTTTGTCGTTGTTTTTGTTATTGTTTTGTTTTTATTACTATGATAACTAATGATGAGTTTGCTGTTTTTTGTTTTTTTTTTGTTTGGAATTATTTTTATGTAAAATAATTGAGCAGCGTACATTTGACAGTTGTACAATCCGGCAGTGAGGTGAATAAGTAGCATGACAATTTATAATCGTAGATAAATTCACACGTGGGGAAACTATGAAAAAAAAAACAAACACACACATACGGACACACAAAATTAAAAATAGTATACAGTGAGCGCCATAATTGACTACCTACCTTATTGTAAAAAACCAAGTACACTTGAAGTTGCACAGAATGCCATAGGGCTTTTTCAGTTGTTCCTTTTTATTGACAATGGTATTTTGGAGATTATAGCCATCGTAGCGACGCCAGCAGTGATTTAAATCTCCTAAAGAAACCAAAAACAAAAAAATCAATAAAAACCAGTGAGCGGAGCAGTATAGTCGGACGGGGCCGACCATATGATACCCTACACAACTACCACGAAAAGCATACTTTCGGTGGTTCTATATTCTGAGCCTGAGCAATATTTCGTGATATTTGCACCCATTTTATCGATTATAGGTCAACAACTCGTCTTTCTAAGTCTTACATATTTTCCAAAATGTTTTTTCTTGAAGTGAATTTTTACGCCGTACAATAAAAAATTGGTCACTTTAGGTTTTGGTTGATTTGACCCCCGTAAAATTTACCGATCATTATCTAAACAGCCGCTCTAAGTATTTGGTCAGATCCCCTTCACCTTGTAAAATATGTGATGTTCTGTATATAAAAATTGCCTCTAGAGCGACTAGAAAATCTAACAAAATTAACGTTTTCGGTTCATTGCACCCCCTGAATGAAATCTAAACTTCACCGAAAACTATAAGCGTCGTCCTTGACCATAATCAGAACTTCATGTACAATTTCAAAGCGATCAGCACGACACATTGTCACCTTTACTTAATTACGTATAACTCCCGCATCGAAGTACATATAGCCATATAATTGGTATCAATTTGAAGGTCAACAACTCATCTTGGACATATTATCACCATCTGTAGTATATTACCTTCAGGAGCAAGTATATACGCCCCAGAATAAAAATTTTATAATTTTTCACACAAAATGGACCCTGACCATTTGACCCGCTAAACATTGACCGACCTTTATCAAAACACGCATGCTTATTCTTAGGCCCGATCCCCTTCTCCATGTAAAATTTCACGATGTTCGGACCATAACTGCGGCCTCTGGAGCGATCAGAAAACCCGACAAAAATTTAGTATTTGGTCCATTTCATCCCCTAAATATAAACCGATCTTTATCAAAAACAATAGGGGTCTTCATTGGCCAGAACCCATCCTACATGGAAAATTTCGTGAAGATTGGTCCATAACTGTGGCCTGTATAGTGTTTACAAATTATAATGGACAGACGGACGGACGGACGGACGGACACACATGTCTAGATCGACTCAGCTAGTCGAGATATGACGATCGGTATACTTAAAGGTGGGTCTAGGACCAATATTTCGCGGCGTTACAAACTCTTGGGGCTGCACAAAGCTATAATACCCTGACAACATAGTTGTGTAGGGTATAACCAGTGAGGAAAGTAGTAAAATCGGGCGAAAACATATATGGGTGCTATATCTAAATCTGAATCGATTTTCTCGAAACTTGGCAGACATCACTCTAGGCTCAATTCAGTACGTTATGCCAAATTTCGTGCAAATCGAAAGGTATATAGGGACTTTGGTTTACCATTTACCTAAAATCGGACGGAAATATATATGGGAGCTACATCTAAATATGAACCTATTTTCATGAAATTTATCACACATATTTTTAGAATTAATTCAGTAGGCTCTGCAAAATTTAGTACAAATCGAAGTATATATAGGGACTTTGGTGCACTATATACCTAAAATCGGACGAAAAAATATATGGGAGCTATATATAAATCTGAACCGATTTTCACGAAACTTTGCAGACATCACTTTAGGCTCAATTAAGTACGTTATGGCAAATTTCGTGCAAATCGAAAGATATATAGAGACTTTGGTGCACCTTTTACATTAAATCGGACGAAAATATATATGGGAGCTATATCTAAATCTGAACCAATTTTCTCGAAACTAACCACTCATCATTCTAGGCTCAATTCAGTACCTTATGCCACATTTCGTGCAAATCGAAGGATATATAGGGACTTTGGTGCACTATTTACCTAAAATCGGACGAAAATATATATGGGAACTATATCTAAATTTGAACCGATTTACACGAAATGTAACACACATCGTTGTGGACCGAGTTTAGTACACTATGCCAAATTTCGTGCAAATCGAAAGATATATAGGGATTTTGGTGCACCATTTACATTAATTCGGACGAAGATATATATGGGAGCTATATCTAAATCTGAACCGATTTTCACGAAACTTAGCAGACATCATTCTAGGCTTAATTCAGTACGCTGTGCCAAATTTCGTGCAAATCGAAGGATATATAGGGACTTCGGTGTACCATTCGGTCGAATTTATATATGGGAGCTATAACTAAATCTGAACCGCTTTTTCCCAATTTCAATAGGGTTCATCCTTGGGCGAAATAAATTAGCTGTGCCAAATTTCATCGAATTTGGATTATAAATGAGACCTGTACTTTGTTTACAATTTAACGCCAACAGACGGTCAGACGAACTTACGGGTTAGACCCTAAAAATAATTTGTAAAATATCCACGCCTTGGGTTAGACCCTAAAAAAATAATTTTTAAAAGCCTGAGGATACTGTTTAAAAAATAAATTTTAAAAATCCACGCCTGATTATATGTCCAGACAATTAATTTAAAAAATTCCGCCTTTGTCTTTAACTTGAGGTCTATTTGAGAAAAATTCCAAAACTCACGTTTTATATGTCCGCCACGTTCACTGTGATGATAATCCCGACCCTCGAGCGGGCTACCATGTCCATTTGTGGCCTCAACACCAAAACTGCTGCCGCTGCTGCTGCCCACACCTCCTGGACTGTTGCGGGAACCTAATAGGCGGCCAATTCCACCACCATAAAACAGGAAATACCACAGAATTGCCGAGCTTACAACAAAAATTAGTGTCATTAATCTCGCCATTATAAATTTTAGCTATGCAGAAAAAAACCCAATAAATTTTCACAGACACACACACACACTCAGACCCAGAGAGTGGTTCGCGTTAGGTGGTAAATTGCTTTCAAGAGGCTTTTCCTTCTTTAAGCCTATCGAAGCTGTCTTCTTCGTTTCACTTCACGATTTAAAACAAAAAAATTGCGCGATTTTCTAAATATCGTCGTGAGCAGATAGTGTTTAAGCCCAACGATAGATGTCCCCGAACTGAAAACCTGATCATGATGGTTGGGAAAAAAAAAATTCATCCATGTGCAGCAGATCATCACAGCAATAAAAACGGCGACGAAAGAGAGCGAGAGTGAGAATTACCGTTTGGGTGATTTCGATTTAAATATCGGATACCCAACAGCCTAGTTGGTGTTCGTCATCGTGTTGGTGATGCTGCCGTTGCGACTAACATTTCATTTGGTCACAGGGGTTGTTGTAACCCAAACGAGATTTTATGAATGGGTTGGCTGGCTAGCTGTCTGTCTGTTATGAATGAATGTTTGTCGCTGATGACAGGCCGATCATCAGCCTCAGCGTTGATGATGATAAATATTAAACTTGATTTTGTGTTTCATCATTTGTTTCAATTGTAGTGGAAAAGGGAAAATAGAATTGGGGTGTGGACAGTGGGTTTCAGAGGCTTTCAAAATATTTTTTTTAATCCCCGCCTTAGGTTAGACCCTAAAAAATAATGTTTAAAAAATCCACGCCTAAGGTTAGACCCTAAAAAATAATGTTTAAAAAATCCACGCCTTAGGTTAGACCCTAAAAAATAATATTTAAAAAATCCACGCCTTAGGTTAGACCCTAAAAAATAATATTTAAAAAATCCACGCCTTAGGTTAGACCGTAAAAAATAATTTTTAAAAAATTCACGCCTGAAGATATGCTCCAAAAAATAAAATGCTTCAAAATTTTACATTTTTGCTCTACAATGCAAACATATTTTATTTGTTTCATTGTTTTAAGAGCAGGGAGGTGGGGTGAAGAAGGGGGGGGGGGGGTCAGCTGACACCCCCACCATTTGCCACTGAACCAAAAATAACCAAAAAAAAAAGAGTAACAAAATGAAATTATGCGAATGTCAGTTATTTGTTTGATTAACTTTAATTAAATAAAAATGTACATACACATACATACAAACTAACGCACACACACACACTCTCTCAAACATTCACAATTTTTTTGCCATCGTTTACATTGATGCGGTGCTAATGTTAGTTTTCAGCTTTTCATCATCAGCATCGTCATCAGCACCTCCAGAATAGCTGCTGCAGCAGCAGAATTTCGTCCTATCTGGGTGAGGGTCGTACACATTTGTTGTGTTGTTTATTGTTGTAGTCTCAATATTTTTGTTTTTCGTATTTTTTTGCTGTCCAATTTTAAATCCATTATTGCGGGTTTTTATTTTTAGGATTTCATGCGAAAAAAGTTCACTGTGTTTTTTTCTCACTCTGCCATTCAAGTGCAAGAGAATAAATACAAAACTGAACATGATGAGCAGTTGAAATAAATAATCGAAAAAAATGGCAAAAGAAATGACACATAAATGCAAGAACAACTTCAACAAATGGGAAAGTGGGTTAACACTTGGAAAAACAGAAAACAAATATCTTGGATTATATACCAAAGTGCGGAGTTTTCAAAAAAAAAAAAAAAAAAAAAAGAAGTCTACCCTAAGGCGTGAATTTTTGAAAAAATATATTTTTTAAAGTCTACCCTGAAGCGTGGATTTTCTATTTTTTTTTTTAAGTCTACCCTGAGGCGTGGATCTTTTGAAATCTAACGTGGATTTTTTAAAAATTATTTTTTAGGGTTTACTCCAAGGCGTGGCTTGGTTTTTGAAGTCTGTACTAAGGCGTAGATTTCTCAAAAATATTTTTTGAAAATTTTTTTATTAAAAAAAAATATTTTCTGGCATAGCTCAATGCGTGGATTTTTCAAAATATTTTTTCCTACATATCTCAAGGCGTAGACTTTTTACAATTATTTTTCTTGCATACCTCAAGGCGTGCATTTTTCAAAATATTTTTTCCTGCATATCCCAAGGCGTGGATATTTAAAATATTTTTTGTGGAATTTTTAAAATTAAGTTTTCGTTACCTATCCTCATGCGTGGATTTTTTAAAATTATATTTTCAATTTTTTAATGCCTATCTTCAGGCGTGGATCTTTTTAAATTAATTTTTCAATTTTTTAATGCCTATCCTCAGGCGTGGATTTTTTAAAAATAATTTTTCAATGCCTATCCTCAGGCGTGGTTTTTTTAAAAAAAATTTATTCTTTAATTTTTTAATGCCTATCCTCAGGCGTGGATTTTTTATAATTATTTTTTTTTTCAATTTTTTAATGCCTATCCTCAGGCGTGGATTTTTTAAAATTATTTTTTTTTTCAATTTTTTAATGCCTATCCTCAGGCGTGGATTTTTTTAAATTATTTTTTCAATTTTTTAATGCCTATCCTCAGGCGTGGATTTTTTAAAATTATTTTTTTTTCAATTTTTTAATGCCTATCCTCAGGCGTGGATTTTTTAAAATTATTTTTTTTTCAATTTTTTAATGCCTATCCTCAGGCGTGGATTTTTTAAAATTATTTTTTCAATTTTTGAATGCCTATCCTCAGGCATGTCCGTCCGTCTGTAGATGTTAAATTGTAAACAAAGTACAGGTCGCATTTATGATCCGAATTGGATGAAATTTGGCACAATCCACTTATTTGGCCCAAGGACGAACCCTATTGAAATTGAAAAGAAAAACGGATCAGATTCAGATACAGTTTCCGTATATATTTTCGTCCGATATAGGCACCAAAGTCCCTATATATCCTTCGATTTGCACGAAATTTGGCATAGTGTATTGAATTAAGTCTAGAAATATGTGTGCTAAGTATCATGAAAATCGGTTCAGATTTAGATATAGCTCTCATATATAGTTTCGCCCGATTTAAAGTAAATGGTGCACCAAAGTCCCTATATATCTTTCGATTTGCACGAAATTTGGCATAACGTACTGAATTGAGCTTAGAATTATGTCTGCCAAGTTTCGAGAAAATCGATCCAGATTTAGATATAGCTCCCATATATAGTTTCGTCCGATTTCATGTAAAGGGTTCGCCAAAGTTCTCTTGATTTGCACAAAATTTGACATAGCGCACTGAATTAAGTCTAGAATGGTGTATTCTAAGTTTCATAAAAATCGGTTTAGATTTAGATATAGCTCCCATATATATTTTCGTCCGATTTAAAGTAAATGGTGCACCAAAGTCCCTATATATCTTTCGATTTGCACGAAATTTGGCATAACGTACTGAATTGAGCCTAGAATTATGTCTGCCAAGTTTCGAGAAAATCGATCCAGATTTAGATATAGCTCCCATATATAGTTTCGTCCGATTTCATGTAAATGGTTCGCCAAAGTTCCTATATATCTTTCGATTTGCACGAAATTTGGCATAGAGTACTAAATTAGGTCCAGAGTGCTGTGTGTTAAGTTTTGTGCAAATCGGTTCAAATTTAGATATAGCTCACATATTTAGTTTCGTCCGATTTAAGATACATAGTGCACTAAAGTCCCTATATATCTTCAATTTCCACAAAATTTGGCACAGGGCACTGAATTCAGTCTATAGTGATGTGTGTTAAGTTTCGTGAAACACGGTTCAGAATTACATATAGCTCCCATATATAGTTTCGTCCGATTTAAGGTAAACGGCATAGCGTACTGAATTGAGCCTAGAGTGACATCTGTTAAGTTTTGTGAAAATCGGTGCAGACTTAGGTATAGGTTCCATATGTATTTTCGTCCGATTTAAGGTAAATGGTGCACCAAAGTCCCTATATATCCTTCGATTTGCACGAAATTTGTCATAGCGTACTGAATTAAGCCTAGAACTATGTGTGTTAAATTTCGTGAAAATAGATTCAGATTTCGATATAGCTCCCATATATATTTTCGTCCGATTTTATATTTCTATATTTCTTTCGATTTGCACGTACGGAATTAAGTCTAGAATTATGTGTGTTTAGTTTCGTGAAAATCGGTTCATATTTAGATATAGCTCCCATATATACTTTTTGAAAATATTTTTTTGTCAATATTCCTCATTCATTCTCATTCCCATCATAAATTGCAATTTCCACACCAAGTGACATTGTTCCCATCAAGGCCATTTTGGGTAAAGTTCAAAACTCGCTGATTTGTATGTGACTGATTGAACCAGGTCATTAGCACGTGAGAATTGGAATAAATGCATGCATGACTGTTTTATTTCAAATTACAGTGTATGGGTGTGTGTGCACCAAGGGACCCCAAAATGAATTTTTGTTGTTTGGAAATTTGTTTTTTTATTTATTTAACAAATATTCATATAAACAATTGGCTTATAAACTTAAAATAATAACAAAAATAAAATAGTCATTTTTAATTTATAAATATTTTATAAAAAAAAACACTTTGCCGAATATAATTGACCATTATCCAGAATTGAAAAAACTGAAAGTCTCATTGCAATGAACCTCATAGCAATCTGGCAAAACTGTAAAATGGCGGGATAAACGTAAATCGAATATAAACTCACAATAGGGAAATCTGAAAAAAATAAACGAAAAAAAAATGATGATAAGAGGTCTTTAGGGTTCTTCAATAAAAATGGTAAAACAAAATCGCCGGAAGCCAGAAAAAAATTTGTATGAAAAAATAATAATCTCCCTCCAATGGCGCCCAATTTTTTTTGCAATAAAAATCAACCCAAAAAATATTTTTTGGTATTAATAACTTACACTGGATGAAACCACAGAAAACATTGATATGTGCAGAGAATGCCAAAGGGCCGTTTAAATTCACCATCAGGCGTTTGAATTGAACCGGAATTATGCCTTTTCCAACACTGGGATGTCCATCCTGTGGCCATAATTCGTGATTGGATTGCATGGGGTAATGGTGTGTGTGTATGGGTGTGTCATGTGTGTGTGTGGTAATTGGTGTGGTCCAATTGAAATGGATTTCAGCAAACGAAGCAGTTATTCAAAGGATCACAGAGGGATTAAGAGCGGGGTGGAGTTATTGGCAGCACAATCAAGCCAAGAATATTTTGTTGTTGTAGTTGTTCGAGGATTCATGTAAAAAATAAAAAGATAAAAATTGAAATTAAAAAAAAAACAATATTTACATTAAATCAGACAAAAATATATATAGGAGCTACATCTAAATCTGAACCGATTTTCACGAAACTTAACACACAGCATTCTAGACCTAATTCATTACACTGTGCCAAATTTCGTGCAAATCGAAAGATATATTGGGACTTTAGAGCCCCATTTACCCTAAATCGGACGAAGATATATATGGGAGCTATGTCTAAATCTGAACCGATTTTCACGAAACTTAGGACACGTCATCCTAGCTTTATTAATTTTAGACCTAATTCCTTACGCTATGCCAAATTTCGTTCAAATCGATAGATATATAGGAACTTTGGTGCCCCATTTACCTTAAATCGTACGAAAATATATATTGGAGCTATATATAAAAATGACCCGATTTTCTCGAAACTTAACACACATCATTCTAGACTTAATTCATTACGCTGTGCCAAATTTCGTGCAAATCGAATGATATTAAGGGTCTTTGGTGCAGGATTTACTTTAAATCGGACGAAAATATATATGGGAGCTATATCTAAATCTGAACCGATTTTCAGGAAACTTAACACACATCATTCCAGACATAATTCATTACGTTGTGCAAAATTAGGTGCAAATCGAAAGATATATAGGGTCTTTGGTACACCATTTACCTTAAATCGGACGAAAATATATATGGGAGCTATATCTAAATCTGAACCGATTTTCACGAAACTTGGCAGACATCACTCTAGGCTCAATTCAGTACGTCATGGCAAATTTCGTGCAAATCGAAAGATTTACAGGGCCTTTGGTGCACCATTTACCTAAAATCGGGCGAAATTATATATGGGAGCTCTTACTAAATCTGAACCGATTTTCACGAAACTTAGCACACGTCATTTTAGACCCACTTCAGTACGCTATGCCAAAATTCGGGCAAATTGAGTGATTTTCAGGAACTTTTGTGCACCATTTACCTGAAATCGGACGAAAATATATATGGGAGCTATATCTGAACCGATTTTCTCCAATTTCAGTGGGGTTCGACCTTGGGCCAAATAAGTGCACTTTTGCCAAATTTCATCCAAATCGGATCATAAATGCCTCCTGTACTTTGTTCACAAAAATACATGGACGGACAGACAGGCGGACGGACGGACATGCGTAAATCGACTTAGAAAGTGATTCTATGCATATTCTCAAAAGGAACCATGGGTCTATCTAGATTCCTTTTGCCTGTTACAAACACATGCACAAATACATAATACCCTTTACCACAGTGTGGTGAAGTGTATAAAAATGGGTTGAGGCATTGGGTTAGTTGCCCACACTCGGAAAACCGAACCTACTATGAAAAAGCAAAGAAAAAGAAAACCAAACCCAACTAATGTTGACGACCCCCTCAAACGTATAAAGGACCACGATCTGCACTTGGAATGTGCGCACGTTGTACAGGACAGGCGCAGTTCTCGCTTTGGCGGATGTACTCAAGAAGTACAAAGCCCGATATTATTGCCTTACAGGAAATGCGATGGAAAGGGACTGGGCGTAAGTAAATCAGACGATTACGCACTGTATTATAGCTGCCATGAAACGAGACGTGAATTTAGCTGCGGATTTATGGTTAACAGGAGAATAAAATACCTCGTCTCCACGTTTCACTCCAGTAGATGAGCGAATTGCTATAATCCGCATAAAAGCGAAGTTCTTCTATATCAGTCTTATTTGCGCCCATGCTCCAACCGAAGATAAAGATGAACAGACCAATGACATATTTTACGAGCGCCTAGAAACAGCATATGATGATCGCTGTACTGGCCATGACATTAAAATTCTGCTAGGAGATTTGAATGCAAAAATCGGAAGGGAAAATATCTTTGGCCTCGCCGTCGGAAAATTCAGCCTTCATGAAGAAACATCCGACAACGGCATGATGTTGATTGACTTCGCGACAGCAAAAAACATGGTAGTTAGCAGCACCAGATTCAAGCATCTAGATATACACAAGGCCACCTGGATTTCTCCCGATCAAACAACGAGAAATCAAATCGATCATGTTGTGATAGAAGGAAAGCATTCATCCAGTATTTAGACTTTCGATTGATCCGTGGAGCGAATATCGATTCGGATCATTACCTTGTAGCAGCCAAGGTTTGCACTCGTCTTAATGTTGCAGCAAAGGTGAGATGTAACACAACACGGAAACTCGACGTCGAAAAGCTGCAAACACAATAGGTAGCCGACGCCTACTCCGCTCAACTTACCCACCTGCTGGACGAAATCACTTCTTGTCCCGATAATAGTATAAAAGCACAATGGCAAAGAAAAACTACCACCAAGAAACGAATGGAGTGTCGTAATGCTACTGAAGAGAAAAATGCAGCCTATAGGGCAACCTTGCAGACAGTAGCGACACGTAATGTGATGGAGAATTATCGGGAGAAAAGGAGAGAGAGAGAGAGAGAGAGAGAGGAGAAACGTGTTCTCAAAAAAAGAAGAAAGATCATTTTGAGAAACGTCGGATATCAAATAGTAGCGGTAAAGAGGATACCCCAGAACCAATAGAGTGTATACCACCTAGCCAAGATGAAGTCAGAATAGCAATCAATCGAGATGTACAGGAGACAGAATGAAATCTGGAAATTATACCAACGAGTAAAACACCAAACCGAAGGCACATCCTCCTGTAAAGATGAAGATGGAAACCTGGTGACAGATACACAGCGTGTTGAGGATCTGGAAGGAGCATTTTGAAAAAAATTGTGGTATCAAATAGTGGCGTTGAAGAAGATACCACAGAACCAATAAGAGATGATGGTATAGAGTGAATACCACCTAGCCAAGATGAGGTCATAAAAGCAATTAATCGTCTCAAGAACAATAAAGCGCCAAATCCAGGAAAAGACCCACGAAGACACATCGACACATACCACCTATTTGTCGACTATAAAGCCGCATTCGACAGCCCTATCCGTTCAGAGGTGTGTAAAGCCATGTCTACGTTCGGCATTCCTGCAAAATTAATACGGCTATGCAGGATAACTTTAAATGGCACAAGATCAACAGTTAAAGTCGGAAAGGACCTATCGGAGCCCTTCAATATCGAATGCGAGGATTCAGACAAGATGACAGTTTGTCGTGTGACCTGTTCAACATCCTGCTGGAAAAGGTCATACGAGATGCAAAGGCAAACAGAAATGGCATCTACACCGATGACATCGATATAATGGGTGGAACATTGCGAGCGGTAACAGCCACCTTTGAACAAATTGAGAAGGAGTCTGCCAAAGTGGGTCTGACAGTAAACGGCAAGAAGACCAAGCTGATGGTATCAACGCGCAAGACATCCAGTAGACTCGGACCAACTGTGGAACTTGAGAACTACAGCTTCGAATTAGTTAAAGATTGGATATACCTTGGTACCGCCATAAATAAAACGAATGACATTAGTTGGACCTCTGGGAGCCCTTCAATATCGAATGCGAGGATTCAGACAAGGTGACAGTTTGCCGTGTGACCTGTTCAACATCCTGCTGGATAAGGTCATACGAGACGCAAAGGTGAACAGAAATGGCACTCTGTACACCAAACAAGGCATGTTAATCATCTACACCGATGACATCGATATAAAGGGTCGAACACTGAGAGCGGTAACAGCCACCTTTGAACAAATTGAGAAAGAGTCTGCCAATGTGGGTCTGGCAGTAAACGGCAAGAAGACCAAGTCAAGCAAGATGGTATCAACGCGCAAGACGTCCTGTAGACTCGGACCAACTGTGGAACTTGAGAACTACAGCTTCGAGGTAGTTAACGATTTTGTATACCTTGGTACCGCCATAAATAAAACTAATGTCATCAGTTTTGAAATTCGGAGAAGGATTGTGATGGCCAACAGATGCCACTATGGTCTAAGTAAGCAGTTTAGAAATAAGGTCACTTCCCGCCAGACCGAACTTACACTTTTCAAGACGCTGGTACTACCCGTGCTGTTATATGGATCTGAAGCATGGCTACTTGCGCAAGCAGATGAGACAGTTCTTGGGGTGTTTGAAAGAAAAATTCTCCGAAAGATCTACAGGCCGATCTCTGTGTCGACGGTGGATATCGGCGTCGAATGAACCATGAATTGCACCAGCTATTCTCGGACATCGACATTGTTAGACGTATTGAGCTGCAGCGACTACGTTGGCTAGGTCATGTTGTGAGAATGGATGAAGAGGCCTCAGCCCAGAAGGCATATAAAAGCGAACCAGCTGATGGTTCACGCAGAAGTGGAAGGCCACGAATACGATGGAAAGATCAAGTCGAAGACAACATTACCGGAAATGCTCTTTCAAATTGGAAAAACTGCGCAAAAGACCGACGCGTCTGGAAATCTTTTTTAACGAAAGTTCTGTCACAAGAAAGCTAAGTAAGTAAATCCGCACCTATTTTTGCTACTTGAAAAAATAATTTTTAAAAAATGTACGCCTCATTTGCTACAGGAAAAATATTTTGAAAAAATTCACTCTTGGATGGGCTATTCAAAACATAAATTTAAAAATATCCACGCCAAAATGTAGGCAATGAATAATAAGAAACCCTAGGGGTCTCCTGAGCGTATGAGCAGCGCCGTTACTTATACGCCACCCCAATGTAATTAACTTAAATCCCTGATATCCTTGCTTATAGGCAAGGAAACTTATAATTTTTGTTGTTTTTAATTTTCTCTCATTCTCCGCTTTTTTTCTTCCTTTCTATACATACCCGCCTCCGTAAAATTGTCCATTAATAGTGGCGCAAAAAC